TGGCTCTCCTACACTTTGTGTTGCGACGTGAAAGACAAACTAGACACATTATCGAATGTATATTATTGCATACCAACTTTAAGCTGAAGAAGTTTTCCTAGGGGCCTTCTCCAAACTCCCGACTATACATAGGTATAAAAAAATCCATGTTTTTTTTTTAAGTAGATGAAGAGGTGGACGTCACTAATAAACAATCTTTTTATTTGGAAAGATTTCAAAACATCTCGCTCTGTTTGGCGAAAACGCCGCAAAATTGTATTGCAAGGGTCATGTATGGTCCCTATTGTGGGGTCGTTACCCTACCCCTAACATTGTTTTGAAATCGGTATTATTATTGCCTATAATAAAAGAAGGGTTTTGTGTTTCCGTGTTTTGGTTTTGGTCCCTAATCCAATAATGAACCTAGGTTTTAAAATTTCATTTTGAATGCTCTAATTATGGTGTGGGTTATAACGGGTAGATGGGGCTTTCGGGTTTCGGCAAATCTCGATGATATGTGACTAATGAAGATAATGTATGTATTTGGAACAAGATGTACAATAAAATATACAAAATATTTTGAGTATAAGGATGATCATTGGATAAGTTTCCTTTTCAAGTAACAAGTATTTTTGTATAGAATCTGTTTTTTTACGACATTGTTGGTGGTTGGCTCTGTCCCTATTAAAATATTGATAAATATGTATAACAAAAAGAAAGCACATTAACAATAATTTTGGTTATTAAATAAACATAATGAGGTAGACACTTAAAATAGACTGACTGGTCGTACACAGAGATACTTAATGATTAAATAAATTATTCCTAAGTAACGATTTTGTTACGTAAATGTGTTCAGTGACAGTAGTAAGTATACTAGATAGTTTAGCTGGACATGCATGCAGGTATGGAAAAGACTAGCTACCTACTTACTAATTTCACGAGATTCTTTAAATAGCTGCCAAAATAAGTGTTATATTTTGAATGCACGTGGTGTCTGAAAGCCGGAATTCCTTTATCCAACTCTTAAATTAATACAATATCCTAATGAACAGCTAACCGTCGCACGCGCAGGTGTCACCTCGTGGCCCCCGATGTTACCCGACAAAAACCGAAGTGCGAACAACTTTTTAGACCAACGCCGAACGGTGTCCTTAAAAAAAGCGCTCTTTTATTCATCATACATCTGTCTTGCTTCTTCCTTCGTCGTTTTTATTGCTATCTCTTTTCTTCTCGTGTTCAGACCGCCGCTGATCCGTAACGTTAGTTATTTCAGTTTGTACATGCTATTGAATATCGTTTGGTTTGATTGGGTATGGACAGGCGTCGGATGCGCTTGCGCATCAGTACAAAATCTTGTTCATTGTCATGAAAGGTGTTTTTTTTCTAAAGCTTAGGCCTTGTGTGCGAAAAAGAGATGCACGAAGTGCTGTTTCAAAAAAAGTAACAATGAGGGACTGCATAAGAGGTGTTTTTTTGGTAATTGTGCTTAAAACCGACTAACTATTAACCTAGGGATTAGTACACTATAGATAGACGCTTCTTCTTCTTAGTCGTCTCAGTCCTGACTGAGCGGTCCTGTTAAATAATTAGAAACAGTTTGCGTGATGTATTCCATGATTCCGTTCGTGACGGTTCGCAGCCTTAGAAGTTAGGTATGTAATACATCATCAGCCTATAAGTGTCCAGTGCCGAGCAAAGGCTCTTCTCACACGGAGAAGGTTTGAGCATTAATCGACACGCTTGATCAAGGCGGTGATATACAATTAACCCCCGGTTTCCGAAAGACCGGTCAATGTTAAAATCATTTGGGCAAATCAAGTGGGGCAAAGTTTGTTGAGATTAGGTAATTTTAGCGTTGTCAAGCCTTTCAGAAACCGGGTGTAAGTCAGTCATATAAGTAAGGCATTTTCCTGACAATGATTTTCGTCGCCGATTGTCAGTGCTATATACACTTAGAAAGTACTTATAGGTAACTTAGAAAAGTCATATTTGTACTGTTCTCTTCAATCACTCTATCTACAAAAAGAAACTGCATCAAAACCCATTGCGTAGTTTTAAAGATTTAAGCGTACATAGGGATATAGGGACATAGAAAGCGACTTTGTTTTATATACTTTGTTATGATAATACGCACGGAACAATTATTTTGGGATTGTTCCATGCAAGAATTGGATCCACGATACGTAGTTCAACGGTTGGTCACCTGACTACTACACCACTGGTACATTCGCTCTTGCCAACAGCTTAATAAATAATCCAGTTCAATGTAAACTCGATAAAACAAGAAATTGCTTAATAACACTCCCGTTGACATTTCCAGGCTTTTGCCAAACCAGTCGATTAAATATTTGCTATACGAATGTAGACTTTATTCCGGAATGCGAAAGGGTTTTTTAATTCACCCTCTGTTGTTAAGTGTTGGCTTGGTTGGCATATTGGGTTTGGGCGTGGTCTTAAGTTCAAGCGATGAGCGATTTAATTTTCTTTTGTACTTTCATAAATGAAAATTGTTAAAACGTGCCCTTTTTTTAAATCTTTGCCCTATTTTGGGATTTTCTGAGTCGTGGGTGCATTTACAAACATACAATTCCACATGCACACCTCACTTAGACCCGGAACTACAATTTGTGGATCACACAGGAAGGAAAGTGTTTTTTTTTAATCTTTATTGATAAAGGGCTTTAATCGCAAAGCGATGATGCCCAAGGAAAGTATTGAATTTGGCTATTCGTGATTGTGTGGGTAGCCTATACCTACATAGCTAATAAATAAAAATGAATAGCAGAATTTGTTGGTAAGCACGTAACTCGAGAACGTTAGGATCAATTTTTGTTGTATTTATTATTGTGAGAAGTTCTTATTGAAGAAAATTTTAGAAAAGTCGAAGAGTGAAAGGGAAACGTTACACTTTTGTTATTAGCGAAATAGTTTGCCTCGTGCGAAGCGGGGCCGAGCTCATAATAATAACTATATTTGTTCTAATTGAAATAATTTTAACAATTATTTGAAGACTTAAAATTTATTGTAATTGATTTTAAAATACATTGCTAAAATTCTTTTAAATTTCTTCAAAAAGTAGCCCTCTTATTGGCCACACATAGCTGTATATATATATTATGTATTTCTTCTACCTATTGTTGTTCGCACTAAATGGAACATACAAATAAAAAAATCTGAAATCGCTTCACTCCATCCTTTGGACCACAAATTATTTTTCGATACAGTAAACTAGTTCGATATCAGCTCTCGATTTGGTATCGCCATTTAAAAATAATTATTGTACGAGTGGTTGCCATAATGCTATTATGAATGTTACTTTGAGTTACACGTATGCATAAACCTTTTTTTTTACTAACTAGCTTCCCCCCGCGGCTTTGCACGGGTACAATTCTGATATTAAATTTCTTCACTATATAATGGATGTTTCTATACACATACACCTTCCTCTTCAATCATTCTATCTAGCAAAGAATCGCATCAAAGCCCGTTTTTTTTATGTAATAGGTCGGCAAACGAACAGTACCTGATGGTAAGCAATCAGCGCCGCCCATGGACACTCGCAACGGAGGAGTTACGAGTGCGTTGCGGACCTTTTAGGGATTAAGGATTTGGAGATTTAGGGATTGAGGAGGGATTGGGGAAGGGGAAGGATTGGGCCTCCGGTAACCTCACTCACACGGTGAAACACAACGCAGTGGTTTTCTGTGAGGCCGTGGTATCACTACGGTCGAGCCGACCCATTCGTGCCGAAGCATGGCTCTCCTACACTTAAAATTTGATTAACAATTAAACACAGTTAAAATTTGCTTAAACCCGTTGATTACTTTTAAAGATGTAAGCATACATATGGATGAAGCAACAAAGAAAGCGACTTTGTTTTATACTATGTAGTAATAGACTTAAGAAACTAGCAATTAATAAATAATAGAAGATTAATGAAAACAAAATAACCTATACTACTACAAATAATGTTTTACAATAATGTTTTTTAAAGTATGGAATGGGCAAGCTAAATTGATTGATGCGGTTTTTAACAGATAGAGTGATTGAAGAGGCTGTTTTATATGTAGAATAATGGCAATTACATAGTAGATAAATTTAGTATCAGCTTTGCATTCGTGTGAAGCCGGGGCGGGTAGCTAGTTATTGGTTCTGTCGTTAATTCAAGGAAAATGGTCTTGTTGCTTTCAAAGCGGTCTAGGGTTTTACCTGTTTTATACACACGTGTCGTGGTTAGGGATTTTACTTTTTTTTATGGTATAGGTCGGCAAACGAGCAGACGGATTACCTGATGGTAAGCAATCGGCGCCGCCCATGGACACCCGCAACACCAAAGAAGTAACGAGTGCGTTGCCGGCCTTTTGTGGATGGGAGTTGCGGATATAAGGATTGGGAAGGGATAGGGGAAGAGGAGGGATTGGGCCTCCGCTAACCTCACTCACACGGCGAAACACAACGCTGTGGATTGTTTCACGCCAGTATTCTGTGAGGCCGTGGTATCACTCCGGTCGAGCCGACCCATTCGTGCCGAAGCTTGGCTCTCCCACAATTTACTACAAAAGAAAATGATCAATTAAATAAATATGTCGAAATCATCACCAGTACCAACTGTTAGAGAAAACCTTCGACCCACTTGTCATAAAACTGCACGGTTGGCGCAATGGCTAATCAACTGTTTAAAAGGTGAAGGTTCGATTCCCGCACGGAACAACTCTTTATGTGATCCATAAATTGTTGTTCTAGGTCTGGATGTGATGTGCATGTGAAATTGTATGTCTGTAAACGCACCCACAGGAGACAATCTTAGTGTGGGACAACTTAAAAAAAAGGACTACATGTACACTGTACAGTATGTGACCATACCTGTTGACCTGACCTACCCTGATGATAGGACCTGACCATAAACTTTTCTTTCTTCATTTCTCCAAGGACGAAGAGAAATATAAATATTATGATCAAAAGCTGTCATGTATAGAGTTCACTACAAAATAGTTAATATCATTCTTCTTCATCACCAGGTACGAGGTGGCAGCACGGGAGTACCACCGCCAGCTGCTCCGGCGATGATAGAGCAGGAGAAGCGGTCGCCGCTGCAGCCGCAGCAGCAGGGCAGGGTGCACCCGGGTAAGAACATTCGATATTCTGGTTATCAGGGATTTTGGTCTGACTTCGAAATGATATGCTATGCTCCAGACTTTGTTTTTATTATATCTGTTCTTAAAGTGGATATGTTGTAATTTAAATTGCTGATTCAAATCTGGTCTCCTCATAACCAAATAAAGATGTTTTTTTCACAGAGCCTCCAATCGTTCCAGTGCCTCCGCCCCCTAAGCCAGCGATAGTGAAGGCGCCGAAACACGCGAAAATTAATCAAAAGGTAAGATTTTTTTTAATGAAACTTTTTATTTCACCAAATTTCAGGTCTTTTGAAGACTTACCGGATGACCCTTCCAAAATTATGCATTTTGGACTCTTAAAATTAGTGGTCAAGGTTTTATTCCGAATGTATTTTCGTCGATATATATGATGTTAATTCAGTAAAAAGGCTACATATTAATATTTTAACATGAAAACACAATGATATTAGTGAATAGACATATAGTTAAGAAATTGGTTTTATAGTACAAAAGCGCGCGAAAACAGTTTCCTACTTTGACAGCTCCAACTTAGAGAGAGGGCGCGTTAAAATAGCGTAGGTTAGTTTGCCCGCCCTCGCTTAGTAGGATGTTATCCATAATAATTAAAAGATTGATTTGTTTGAATAGTAGGAAAGATAAAGGAATAGTAGGATGTATCTCATATATCTGATGATGTTCGTTGAGGTATAAAGTACAAATCTATACTAATATTATAAAGTGGTAAAATTTGTAAGTATGTATGTAGGGCGTAATCTTTGGAACCGCTGGTCGGATTGCTAAAATTCTTTCACTGATAGATAGCTACAATGTTTTTGAGTGCTCTAGGCTATAAAACATCACGCTACGATCAAATGGAGCAGAGCAGCGGGTGACACCGCGCGAGGGTAGCTAGTATGTGTCAAATTAAAAATAATGACCAGAAGAAGCCCATGATGCTAAGTAATCTGTTCTTATTGACTGCCATTTAGGCAAAGGATGCGCAGTGACATGCCACTGCCCTTCTCGGAGCTGGTGAAAGAACGGAACGGTTTTTAAACAGTAAGAATCGAACACTCATATCGCCTGTACCAGGGCGGGAGAAGGCCTTCATTGATTTACACCCGTAAAAACTAAAAAACAGGAAATATTGTAACATCACCATTGCACCCGTACGGAGCCGGGGCGGGTCGCTAGTTTTGTTAAATACAAGAACGAAATCGACCACACTTTTACTTTACAAGGTTTAACGGAAGAAATTCATAATAAAGTATGCAGTTACTTTATTAATTTACTTGGAATTTTACGTATGATGTAAGTTCATTAAGTATTTTATCTAGTGATCGGGTTTTTTCGGTCGATTGATTTAAGGACACGTCGCAGGGAAAATGTTTATGTCGTTTATCGATAGATGGCGGTAGTGTAGAGTTTGGTCTATACAATTGTAGGGTATCCTGAGATGATAGCGCGTTTAAAAGACAAAAAAAAAAGTAATAAGTGTGGGAGAGCCAAGCTTCGGCACGAATGGGTCGGCTCAACCGGAGTGATACCACGGACTCACAGAAAACCGGCGTAAAACAGCCATAGCGTTGTGTTTTGCCGTGTGAGTGATGTTACCGGAGGCCCAATCTTTCTCCTCCCCCGATCCCTTCCCAAAACCCTAATCCCTAAAAGGTTGGCAACGCACTCGTAACTCCTCCGTTGCCATGTCCATGGGATGGGTGTCCATTTGCGGCGCTGATTACTTACCATCACGTAATCCGTCTGCTCATTAGCCGACCTATAACAAAAAAAGTATAATGGTAGTACTTGTTTATAAATAAAAAATAGAAATAAAATTATCCGTTTATATTGTTGACTTAGAAACAGTAATATTCTTGTATTACTTTATAATAAGTATAAAACAAATGATTTGCACGCTAATTTAAATATCATAAGTAAATTATACATGGTAGCCATATCCCCGCCCCATTTAATACGGTTCTTATTACATAATTTGATTGTAACAAATATAATTTGTGAAATTAATTGAATAATTGAAAAAGAGTAACCATGGAGTTTCTTGCTTCTTCTTTCCCATAGGAGTGTACACTTTGAAACAAGCAAATATGTAGCTTCACTGAAGGACAGACGATTTTTTGTTTGACGTTCAAAAGTTGTCTAACACACGGTTTCTGAAAGACTTGTCAACGCTAAAATTAACTAATCTCCTGTTAAATCTCTTGTCAAGTCATCTGATTGGTTGTTGATAATTCAGTCAACCAATCAGTTGACAAGGGATTAAATTGATTTTAACATTGATCGGCCTTTCGGAAACCGGGTGTATGTGAGTAAGTGATTTAAAATGTGAATGTCTAATGAGAAACTTTATAAAAGGATTTTATAAAATGATCTGCTTAATATTTGACTCTAATAGTATCGTAATTGTTAAAAATTTAAGTCGCAACAAGTAGGTAACTAAGGGCTGATTTTTCAATGATTAGACAAAAGATACCTGTGGAATAATTATGATGCTTTCGCGTCAGAATGTTTGTATAAGACAGAGACAGCAACAATTTTATTCCTCAGATAACATTTATCTGACTATTGAAAAATCAGCCCTAAGCAAAAAATATAAACACAACTAAAACGCACATACAAACGAATACTTGAATTGAATTTAAACCTTTTCTCACTGAAAACGCAGTTCATATTCGCGTTTATTCGTAATTTTATTGTACTTAAAATCCTTGGTGACTAATTTGAGTGTAGGGCGACATTATTTTTTTCATTTTATGGCTACGTCCATGCAATCGGTATTATTATGGCCGTAAATTTACGGATGAGTCGGCTCGACTCGCCTAACATTAATTTAGGCTTGTCAAGGTTTCTTCTAATAAAGTATGAGAGTATATCGCTAATATTGTGATTGCTAGCTTTTGCCACCGGCATCGCCCACGAAATCGGAGTGAAAAATAACCTATACCTAAAGTTTGCAGACTATAATCTATCTACACTACCGGCCAAAAGTTTGAGACCACCTTAATCAAAGTAGGAAAATGCGGGGAAAATGGAATAAATCGATAAATACAAGTAATCAAATGGTTTAATATACTAATTAGATAGTACTTAAATACAATTACGCTAGAATATGCAAAAATTTTGACTTTAATGTTAAAAATGGAGTTTATTATTTAAACAGATTTTTCATAAAAAAATCCACCTTTACATTTTATGACTTTTTTTACAAGTCTCGGCATCCGAGCTATTAATTTATTGATTGTTTCTTGTGAAATATTCTTCCAACTCTCTTGAAGTATCCGCCAAAGGTCTTCTTGAGAAGACGGACACCCATCACGCACCTTTCTGTCCAGCTCTTCCCATAAAAGCTCTATGGGGTTTAAATCTGGACTTTGAGGCGGCCAGATCATGTTTTTTAATACACCATCTGTTTCTTTTCGTTCCAAATATCCCCTACATAACTTTGAGCTATGTTTGGGATCATTATCTTGTTGGAAAATAAATCCATTTCCAATAATCCTTAACCCTGACGGAACAGCATTTTTTTCTAAAATTAATTTATACTGCTCTTTTTTCATGATTCCTTGGATTCGCACCAAATCTTCTGTTCCATGGCCCGAGAAACATCCCCAAACCATAATAGAACCACCACCATGCTTCATTGTTGGCACTACGCAGTCTGGCAACATTTTTTCGTCAGCTCTGCGTCGCACAAAAACTCTTCTTTTTGTACCAAATACTTCAAATTTGGATTCATCAGTCCAAAGAACTTTTTTAAAATCTTCTTCAGTCCAATCCTGATGGTTAAGGGCCCACTGCATCCGTTTCTTTTTATTTTGCGGTTTTAACAGGGGTTTTCGAGCGGCAACGCGGCCAAACAAGTTAGCGTCTCTTAATCTTCTTTTCACAGTAGTTAATGACACAGGTTTAGATCGGGATTTGTTCAGTTCAGCACGGATTTCTGGTGCCGTCAGCCGTCTATTCCGCTTGCTTGTGACAACGATGAAATGATCCTCGCTAGAAGTAGTAGCTCGCGGCCTTCCCGAACGTGGACGATCTTGATTACTGTTAGTCTCCTTGTATCGAATAATTGCATTGTGAACACAAGTCTTCGACAGCTTTAGTTGTGATGCTATCGCACGTTCAGATTTGCCTTCGTTATGCAAAACAACGATGGCAAAACGAATTTCACTATTGATTTCGGGTACTTTTCCCATTCTTAACACGTCTTTACACTACAAACTGTAAGTTCAGACTAAATCAAATATAGAAAGATAAATTCAAGAATAGTTGAGTAAAAAACATGTTAAATCATGTTAAGATATTTTGTAATAATGGTTAACGCAAAACAAAAGCATACTATTAAGTAAAGAGGAAGTAATAAAAATATTACAATAACTCTACCATTTGGTCCCTGCGCGGCACTCATTGATATTTTGAAACAATTATTCTTTTATAAAACGACAACTCAAAATAAACAAAAGAATGACGTTTATGACACTATCTGGCAACAATAGAATGCGCACGTGTGCAAATTGCTTTTTTATCACAAGTATTTTTTAAATAATTCAAACATTTTGAAGATTTTTACAAGTGGTCTTAAACTTTTGGCCGGCAGTGTATATTCCAAATTGTTTAACACTAGTGTTTGTTTCAAAGCTTTAAGGCTGATTTTTCAATGGTTACATAAAGTTACCTGGGGAATAATTATGATGCTGTCACGTCAGAATGTTTGTAACTGTAACAGTTTTATTCCTCAGATAACATTTATCCGACTATTGAAAAGTGAGCCCTTAATCTCCGGAATTAATAGTTAATTGTGTTTTTTATATTCCGCACAGTAGGGGTTTCTCCTGTGTCGTGTGTGTGTTTACTAACATACAATTTCACATACACAGCACACTCAGACCCGGAAAAACAATTTGTACATCACACAAATATTAGTTCTGTGTGTGATTTGATTGAACCCGCCACACGTTGCGCGGCAGCCAGTTGCCCAGTCAACGGCCAACCGTGAAGCCCAATTTTTTTACGCAAGAATTTTTATAAACAAGCTCACCAATATATAATTATAAATATATATTTTTGTTATATTATATACAACATATAAATATATGATTCCAAAAATCAAATTAAAGCGGGAATCGAAACGGCCTCGAAACAAAATAATATTCGAGACAGTCTCTCAAATATCACGAATCAAGGACACAGCGTGGCTTGCTGCGCACAAACAGGTTTCAATTGCGCTACGTGTCGTGTTGTTAAAGTAACGTTGTGACGTATCGATTATTATAATCGATATGGATGATCAAGTGA